AAAAAAAAAAAAAAAAAAAAAAAAAAAAAAAAAAAAAAAAAAAAAAAAAAAAAAAAAAAAATTATTAAAATTGCGAGAAATCAGGATCGGCCTAGTTAAAATTGTTGCAATTGTACAAGTTGTATGAAGACAAAATAATTGCTAAGGTAAATTATATAGGTTTTGTACTCTCCGATAGTGAGAAATTGAAAGAGAGTTATATATATATATATATAAATATATATACATATACATATATAATTAATATTAATAATGATAATTAATATGAGCCCACGTATGTGACCAGCGATCGACATGAGTGATATGATGTTTACGAAACGTTCAAGTATAGAAGAGGAACAAGATGTATAACATTGCGAGCACTGCATCAATACTGTACACAATGTATAACTATCACTTGTCGCGTACGTTTCCTGCATTTTTTCTATATACGATAGACACCTGCGTTTACAAATGTGTGATGATAGAATTTTTTGAGTGTTACTATAAATACGCTTAAAAAAAAAAAAATTGGATATTTCGTATATTAAATATTATTAAATATATATGATATTATCTTTTTGTAAAATAAGTTGTTCATTCGACATTCTCATTATCTTTATATGCGATTTGAAGTGTTCGAAGATAAACGAAAGGAAAGAAGATTATCACTGAAGAACTGTGGTTCAAGAATGGCATTAAAAACTTTTTGGATCATCGGAACCATTATTTTCGCACAGAAAATTACGCAGGTGCTTATATATATATATATATATATATATACATATATAATATTATATATAATATTTTAATTTTATAGAGAGGATAATATTATATATAATTTTATAAAATATTATAGACTGTTATATATAACTCGACACGTTGGTGGATTATTACATATTATGGCAGGAATCGTACGCGTCACGTGTTCGACCAAGAAAAGAACTTAATCAACGGAAATAAACATTCTGTGGAAACGAAAAGTACCTTAGTGATTATTTTGTCTCTCTTTCTTAACACACCATATAAAATAATATATGTATGTATATACACACATATAGACAAATATACGTATATAAATGATGTGCATGTATATACGTACATATATGAATATATTTTAGATATAATATCGCACACCACATCTCGCCGCATCTTTTTTGTGTACTAACATTATATCACAGCTATCAGTATGTAATACGATTATTATCATGTGTAAAAGTTCTTCATTTATATGCCATCATACGTAAAAAGAATGGTTCTCAGTATATGAATGACGGTCAATTTCGAAAAAAAAAAAAAAAAAAAAAAAAAAAAAAAAAAAAAATATGCTAATCTCAGAAAGTATGGAAAACAAAAATTCTGTAGCATCTGAATATATTTCTATGTCGACAGTCTCTAAACAATCACTTTTTATAACGTTAATCCGATTAAATAGAAATCAATGAGCATAAAATGAATTATTAAACTAAAAAAAATATAAACTAAAAAATTAATTAATGTGTTATTTGTACATAATTTTGTTAAATCGAGTTTTGTATCTTTTAAAGATACACTATCCTTTGTTATAACGAAAATAAAAACTTAAATACAATACTGCAACAAATAACACTCATACTTTATCACACTAGAATAACGTTATGATAAGAATGAACGGAATGATCATAAACTCTGTTACTGATAACAATATTGATCTTATAATTAGTTAAAAGGCACTGAAAAAGAATCATATAATTCTTATTCCTCTGCTATAAATGTACTATTCTCAGAAGATTCGGATTTTATTTTAAGTGGTGAATTAGGAGTAGTGCTGTCGGGAGTTTCGGTACCTGAATCACATTTATTATTATTTTCTCTATCGTCGTTAATATTAGAGTTTTTCATTTTTATCTGACTCTTGTCTCTTGATATTTTTAATTTGGATTTCTTATCAGGATCAAAATGACCTTCAAGAACGATTAGTACATCTTCTATTTTTTTTTCGTCAGTTGCAGTTAATTTTTCCTTAATTAATTTATCTAAGCCTTCTTTTTTTCCATTACTCCATGCTTCCTATATAACATATATATTTAACAATAATTAAAAATTATTAAAATAATAATTACATTATTTACATCATCACATTACATATTAATTTAATATTTAATATTAAAATTTCATTTATTTTTATAATACAAAATAATTTAATTAAAAATAATAATTTTATTTTAATTTATACGAACTTGTAATTGAGAATATTCTATTCCTGCTTCAGCAAGCAATCGTCGTAAAGGACTAGCATGTTGACGTTCTCGACGATTTACACGAAATAGAACTCCAAAAATAGGCCTTAAACTATTTTGACGTTCAAATACTATTTTTAATTCTGAAACAAGATCATTATATTACATAATAAAATATTTCATATTCAAAATAGCTTTTAATTTCTATTGCATATTCATATTACCTGCATATTCTTGTTCTTCTATTTCTACTGGTTGAACAAATTCCCTAATAAATTCAACAGTATTTTTCATGGCACTATCACTATCACCACTGCCATCTGCTTCATTTCCTTTTGTAACTTCTAATGAACTTAAATGTTGTACTATTTGTAAAGCCAGGCATGCTCTATCTTTTGCATTGCCTAATTGTGTTTCCTTAAATTATAACAATTTTATATTAAAATAATTATATAAAATATATTTTTATTATTTAAAATATAAAAAGTTCATGCATAATATTTTAAGAAAAAATTTGCTAACTTGGTTAAATAAACTTTGGGATAATGTCCTGAGAGTATATGCACGAACTGTGTTTGCACATTTTACTTCAGCAATATTAAATCCATTTGCAAAGCCTTTTACAATTTGTTTAAATCTTTCCAGAAGATTATATTTTTTTAAAGACTCAATTAACATAGCAGGAATAACTTTACGTGGTTCATGATAAACTAATATTATACCATCTGCTGCATCTCCTCTTATAGAGGAAAGCCATGTTATAAAATCTGTTAATGCAGATACTTCACTTTTAGTTTTTAATGCCTATATAAAAATATAGGATTTAATATGATTAAATATAAAATATTAATTCTTTAATATTGATAAAAATTTTACCTTATTAGTTTTGTTATCTTTAAGTACACGAAACTTGCCAATAGTTACTATTTTCATATTATGTCTTTTCATAGCTGGAGGATTAAGATCTTTATATGGCATTACATATTGAGAATATGAGGAACTAGGTGTATATCCAGCTATTTGACATATTTCATCTATAACTTTTTTGCCCGTAGTATCCATATCCCAACCAACTAAACGATAGTTGCCTGGACCAATACCTACTGCAGAAGGTTTTCTTGGTGGGTTGGATTTTCCATTTTCCATTATTGTTGATGATACCATTTTTATAAATTAAAAGTCTGAAAATGCATAAAAATTTCTATAAAACAATTTTAATTTTAACTTATTTAACAAGATAAAGAAATAATGTATTAATGTTAATTTTATCAATAAAATTAATAAATTAATTAATAAATAATAAATGTAATATTATATATATATTACATATTTTATGTATATATAAAAGACAAATTAAATATAAATAACTAAAAGTTACAATATATTATTTAATTAATTTTATTATTATATATTAAATTAATTTTATTATTATTATATAAAATATATATATTTTAAAATAAAATGTATACATCTTTGTATAATCTATGTATGTAACTTAAGTTTTTCTTTAGCAAATGTTTGGAACGAACACTCAGTTTTTGTACAAGGGCGAGATATTTTGGTACATGCGTAGAGCAGATTATACATGGTATCGGCAAGGTCGACCTTGAAATTCAATACAATACACAAATACTTCAGAACACAAAAGATTAATAATTTGAAAACATGACTATTAATATTGTCTTACCTTCTGGAATTAACTTACAAATTATTTTTCAAATAAAAATTATCTTATATCTTATACGTAGTGATTTTTTTTATGTCACGTAAAAGAGATGCCAAGAACGAAACGACAAAAATATTAATCAGAAATAAATACACAGACTCACGTTTTGTAAATCTATTAGTATTATTATCGGGAACAAGAAATTTTGCATGAGAATAATGCTACGCCATCAACGACGATGAAAAAATAACAGTCTAACAGCTGGTATCTTGTTTTGCATAAGTGCATTTACCAGTAAGGAAACTGAATGTTGCATGAATTTTTGCTATTCCGTGACGTCTATGCAACACGCATTACACATCAGCTTGCGACGAATCATGTCATGTATGTAAAATAGATATTTTCATCACACGTGGATCTATTGCAATTCATGAATAGCCTCGATTTCGATATTTTCGTTTTCATTAATTCAACATCAGATTCACTACGCTCACTCACCAATTCACGTGATTTTGTAGTTCCTTTTTTTTTTCACGTTTTTTCTTATTATGATGATTGAAACAGACGATAGCACTATAAATCCTTTGTAGATACTGGAAACTACTGGAACGCAACTAGATACGTTTGAACACACGTGCGAGATTGGCAGTAAACCGCCCGCTCGATGATCTGCGCGTGCGTGCTTGATCGTAAGTCACGTGGTTCTAATGTCACTATTGGGTGAAGGAAAGATTGGCAATTGTAGTTCTTCTAATACAGTAGATCTTCTAATACAGTACGCGATTAAATTGAAACGTTTGTGTACGCATTTGTTTCTTATATTTCAATATAATTATTTATAGATCTAAATTTTATCGATAATATACGATTAATGATCGTAGAAAAAAATAAAAAAGAATTGATTAATAGAATCTTATTCAATATTGAATTGTAAAGTATTTATATTGCAATTGATAATGATTTTTTTAGATAATGATTTATCTATTGTTATAATATCATTGTTATAACAAAATATAATAGAATACAATAAAATAGAAAAAAATTACATAAAAAAGTGAAAATAATTTTATTATGGAAAAGTATTTTGATAAAATTAATAATAATTATATTTCATTATCAATTAAGGTTATAATTTTTTTTTGTAATATTTTTTCATATTGAAAGTATTTGAATCGTGAAGAATTATGATAACTGTTATGATGAAAATTTTTTCAAAAATAGACAAATGATTCAATATTCGCACTTCCAAAGAAAATTGAACGTGATCAAAATAATGAACAAAACGGTAAAAATATTAATTTTGTATAATTTTCAAATTATATTGTTTGTATAATTTATATAAGAAATAAATAATAATTTAATTATATTTAATTATATTAATTATATATTAATAATCGATTTAATTATATCATTTTCCTTTATGTTATTTTCTATTCGACATTGACAGGTGGAAATTTGAAATGAACCAAGAATGCTGTTGCAATTACGGCGTGTTCTAAAGATATGCATGTGTCATTCATATTTAATATGAAAGTGCTGCATACTAATGGTATGTAAAAGAAATTCACACATATCCATGCATTAAATATATATTCAATATTGTTTCCGAATTCTAAACTGAAAATTCATTATAAATAGGAAAATTCATTAATGTGAAATGATGAGAATGCTTCATCGATGCTTCTTATTTATTATTGTAATGACGCATCTATATAAAATTCCATTTGCACGTTGCACTTTGGTTAAAATTGTTGACGGTAGCGATAAATTGGCATGCAGCTTATCTTTCGTTATCTGTTATTTATCCTTTTTTAGAGCGGTCCGCATGCTTTGTGGGGCTGATAAATTGTTTCAACTGGGTCATACGTTCGCTACGGCTCGTTTTTGTCTTTTCATTTATCCGTGGAATTTCTACCGTGCCGGTTGTTCCAAATTTATCGAATTCTCCGCGGTATTTAACGCGAGAAAATTGAAAGGCGAGCCGCACACGGTCAACTATCACTGCATTTTTTTGTGTGATTAAATTCCCATTATGATGCAACTTCACAATATACACATGTTTCTGTATAATATTAGAAGAATAATTATCTAAACCGGTAATTACCATCATTACATTAATGCACATATTGTACAGTAAGCCGAATATTGTTATTATTTATTACCATTTGTTTTTTATATCTAAATAAGTAATTTATCACGAGAGCATTTAGATAGTTTTCAGGATGTTAATTTGAAATCAAATAAATTTATATTTATTTTTGTCTATGGTAAATTATTAAAGAATTTTTTTATTGTGATACTGTAATTTATTAAGTCAGTTATTAAATCTTTTTTATTTTTATAATTATTTTAATAAATTTATTATAAATTTGACATCTATTTATTTTAAAAAATTTTTTCATTTTTATAATTGTCTGCAATAATTGTATTCTTATATTATTTTCATACATATTTATTTTATTTCAATATTAAAAAAAGTAATAACTAGAAATATTTTCATATATATAGTTTAATTTAGAAAATTTTCATTTATATATATTTACTAGGTTACTCCTGAGAAAATTTTTTATTTTACACATGTTTATAAGTGTGTTAATATTAAAATTAATATTCAAAAATATTTATGAAAATTTATGTAACTTAATAATATTAAATTAAGTTAAACAAGTTAAATATTATTTAATTGTAAATGAAATTCAGTTCAGAGTCAATTGTATTATTTGTTATTAGAGTTATTAGCATATTACATAAATTAAATTATTCATAAATATTTTGCACCAATATAATAAATAAATGTTAAATATGTATTTGAAAAACATTCATAAAAAAAATGAAGATTACATACATTGAAGATAAAAATTTTAATTAGGAAAATTATTTTTCTTTCAAAAAATAATGAATAGAATTTATTAACTAACACAATACTTTTTTATTTTCAGTATAAATGATATAATAGAAATAATAAAAAGAATAATTTTTTAAAATTTTGAAAATACTTTTTATAATGAATGTTTTACCTGAAACTTATGTGAATACAGATTTATAAATTTAGAATTATGAAAAAAATAATAAACACACAAGTGAAATTTTATGCATATGTATATATACATATCACATAAATAAATCATAATAAATATGGGTAAGTCAAAATTAAATATCAAAATTGTAATAATAAAAAAAATTCCTGAGTTTAAAAATTTTATCATAAAATGAAATTAATCTATTATAGTTTTTACCTACGCCTGAAAGCTTTTTTCCAACCGTCACATTCGCTTTTTACAATATGTGGCAAAGCAAAATCTCATGTAAATAGTAAAAACCATTAAAGCACGTTTGGAACATTTCACGTTCGTGGATCAGTTAATATTCGAGCTTGGTTTTGCTATTTGTCCACGTGACAGTTTCATATCTACTCTCTGATGGAATATGTGATACTATGAAATTTGAATGAAATGTAGTCTAATAAGAATTGATCATTTTTATAATAAATATCGGTTTAATATCGGTTAATAAACGATATAAATGGAATTGATATAATATATAATATGAATAAATATTTTAAGAAAAAAAAAAAATGAATATCGAAAAAAAGAAAAGGCAAAGATCAAATTTATATCCTATTAGAGTCAATAATTTTTTTGAAATGTATTGTACTATAATGAACATTGTATTCAAATATGACGATTGCTTCAAAGAAAATTTCGATAGTAAAAAAGAAAGAAAAAAGAGATGGACGAAAGAATTGAAATATCTTGATAAGTTGATTAATATTCAACCTAGTTTCGGCAAACGTAAAATCGATCATCTCTATATCTCTAGCGTGTGCACTTTCTATCTTGACTGACAGAAAAAAATAGTGTTTTATTGAAATTAAAAAATAGTAATAAGAAAATCAAACACAATATGTGTACATAAATTTCAATGGAAATTGAAAAGAGTAATTTCTGAAAAAAGAAAAAAGAATCACATCTTTTTTTTGTACTTACATCATCATTACACAATCATGTTGATAAATTAAAAAAAATACATAATAATTTTTTTTAATTTTTTCTAAGAAAATTTTCGTATTACTTTCTTTAAATCAATATTATTTATTGTTTATTTTTTAAATATTTTATATTAGATTCATTTTTAAAAATTTCAAATAAATAATGAAGAACGTAAAATTTTAATCATAATATTTTAATTTAGTTATAATATATATTTATAATTCAATATTAAAACAATATTGATTTATTACTGTATCATATAAAACATATAGATTTTATAAATTATGCAGTTTCAAAATAAAGAAATTAGAGAGCAACAGCTAACAGCTATCGAGATAAATGGTACATCAAAATTCAGTATGGAAGATGACTACAAATGGAAAATATCGGGAAACGAATTTTAGATTCACACGTTTGTTCTTCATTAATATTCAGTCTATCACCCACAAATGTAATAGAGTCATTGGCAAACATTGTATGAGAGATAAAAGTAGAAAAGAGATTAATTAAATGCGAAGATCGTTTTAAAATCTGAAAAAATTTCTTATTAAATTAAGATTAAATGGACCTGTAAAATTAAATCTATATATATATTATATATGCAGAAACAAAAATAAAATAAATAAAAAATAAAATAAATATGAAAGATAGTTTGATTTTTTAATTAAAAAATTAAATAATTTCTTATTTGAGTTAATTAATCGAAATAAAATATGTAATGTTCATTATATATTTTTGTGAATGCGTAAAATAATGAGGAAATCTATCATTTTTTGATGCAATTGGCAATGTTAACATAATAAAATTCAAAAAATCTATTTAAATACATAACATTAAATATTAAATAAAATAAAAAATTATATGTTTAAAAATTTATATTTATATAAACTAAAAACATAATAATTCTAAATAAAATTTGTTGAGAATATATTTAATATTATTTATTATTTGAAACATTAATTTATTAGTTTTATTGATTGTCAATAATTTATGGATAGAAATGTATATCACATGTATATCACAAATATATTTTATACATTCATTTCATGTATATGTATCTCCTTACAGAAATATCATGAGCATGTAGGTTTCTAGAGTTCATTCAGACTTGTATTTCGCATGAAACCGAATTTCAACCACAAACAACCACTCAGTCCGTTCTGCACTTGTCATTCACACAGAATGCATGATAAGCTCATTCATATCTGACATTCGTGAAATTCATTCACCCCCGTCGTATAGAGTAACTCATATAACCTGTTAGTCGATATGCTAGTATAATTAAGTATGCCAATCATAATATTGAAAAAAATCTATTAAAAAAGATTATATTATTTATATTGATAATTTATATTGATAAATATTGAAAAAATAGATAAAATAATATGAGAATATTAAATTAGATATATATATATAATTTAGAAATTAACAATTTAGATAGAGAATATAATTTAGATACATTATCGTAATATTTAATTACTTTTTAATTATTATTATTAATAAAATTATATATATATTTTTTAATTTGAGATAAACGATCAAGATTAAATTATTCTTTGAATAATAAAAAAATTTTCATCATTAAACAATAAAATTATACTATTTATAAATTAAATTATACTATATTTAAAAATAATACTATTCAAATATGAAAGATCTTTAAATCGATTTCTTTAATAGTAAAAGAACAAAAAAATATTTTCTTAGAAATCTTAAACATTTTAATATTAATTAAATTTTAAATTGAATAAAATTTATTTATTGTTTTACTTCTTATCACAAAAAAGAAAAAAATTAATTTTATTTTATTATTTTAATTTTTTAATTATTTTCTTATTTAATTATCTAATATTAAAAGAAAATTTTAATAAAATTGAAATAAACTTACATCATTTGTCTACACAATAATATATTGATTTTTATACTTTTTTTCCATTTACATGTTTTTAAGAATTTTTTTTACTTTGCTTGATCTTAAAATTTTTCTGAAAACATCTTTTTATTAAATACAAAATACAACAAAGTATTTGCATTTGTTTTCAGACATTTCACGTATAACGTATTCATTCGTTACGATATATTATGTTAATATATGAATCTTATAAATAAACCGCTTTTTTAAATACAATTGTACAACGTATACTAAATATTCCAAGCCTTATTTAAATAAATAAAACAATATACATCCATTTCATTATGAAATTTTTTCAAGTATACAACATGTCAAACTTATAACGAAATACACACACATAATACACATAATCAAAATCATTTTTCTTTCCTTTCACAATGATTTCACTAAAAGATCGAAATGTCCACCGGAACGAAAGTTTTATTTATCTTAATTTAACCACACTGCACACAAAGAATAATCGAAAGAGGTTCTGAATAAAAGAAAGACTCACAATACTGAACGATCTCGTCGTGAATCCCGTCTGAGAGAAGAAATTATTTCACCGTTGGCTCCCGATCGTTCTTTTTTGCAATGGATCGACTGGGATGATCGGTCGTTAAAAAACGATTCTTCGTCGCGGTTGCGCCGCGTACGTGACACTTTTTTTCCCGCGATCTCGATCCTTTCTGTTCACCGTGACGCCTTCGTAAACGCCGTGAAATGTAGACAAAAGACCGTTGACTCGACACTCGACGCACAGATCCCGATAGTCTATTGTTTTTCCTTCGTTTTCGGCTTTCCCTAGGATATTATCTTTATCTCATTTCCGCGCGTTATTTTTCGTTCTTCTTTTGTTTCACTGAAGGTAGAATTTCCTATAATTGTCAGATGACATAGTATGTCTGATATGTCAGTTACATGTATGTACTAAAAATAACCTACACGTGGCGCTGGTGTATAGTATAAAATATAGTTAAAAATATTTGAATACATGTGTCATGTTTTGGTTATATGGAATACCGCCTTAAGTTTTCACTAATTGACGATGATGAGGCGCCCCTCTTTGTATCTGTTGCGATCAACTTTGCTCATGTTCGATTCGGCCATGCTTTCGCTGATAACGTAACATTGCAACAAGATAGCGTGAGATTTGCACGTACTTGCAACGTGTCTGATATACGAGTGATTTGTGGTGAACAATTGATAAGGTTGCATTTCTTGCGTGCATATAAATGTGGTTTTTGATGCGCAGCAAATTAAAAATATAGATGAAATTTTTGAATTGAAATTTTTAAATTTTTCAATGATTACTTTATGGTGATATAATTTTATATATTTATATTTTTAATATAAATTAAAGAATTGATTAGAAAAATTGATGTACATTGAAAAGTAAAAATGTAGAAAATTCAAAGTGGTAATAATCTTAATTCAGAGTATTAAGATAAAATATTAAATCTAATGAGATATATTACATTTAATGAATTCGTATAATTATAATATTTTATGAAATTATGGAAGAAAACTATTATTATATGATAAAATCCAGCATTAATATATAAAAATATTTCTTTTTACTATGATATAAATAATTTACAAATATTTATATTCATTTTTAAACTTTTATTTTATTTGACAATCGAAGAATATAATTTAATTTATTATTGAGATTATTATTCCAATAAAAAAATTTATTTGAATTAGCATATAATTCAATTATTTTTATGTTTCAACTAAATAGATTACTAAAACTAACCTAAAATAATTTATTTTATAGTTATGAACGATATTAGTTTTATTTTTATCGATGATATGTTTTCTACATTTTTAAGAAAAAGTTTCTTGTTATCAATACAGTAATTATTATCAATACAGTAATTTTTTATTATATTAACAGATTAAAAATATAAAAAAAAGATATGATTGAATATGAACAAGATTATATTCAATACATATCGTTTTGATTTTTATTAATTTAATTTTTTATAATAAATATTAAAAAAATAAAATTAATATGAATTTTCAGTTTCAGTTTATATTATTTATAAATTTGACAGTTTCTTATATATTAAAAAAAAGTTTGATAAATTATATAGTTATTGTTGGAATAAAAACTTTACAACATGATATACATTATTGAATGTGATAATAGAATTTGTACGATATTACGTATTGTGTGATAAGCATGCAACTCGTGGAATTGCAATGAAGTGATAAGATCGTCTCGCGTTATGTATTTATATTGAATTTTTTCGTTTTGAGTGTTCTTCGAATTTCTAATATTATTATACATAATATTTGCTTGAAGAAAATATTGTGGATATTATTTTAATATTTATTTATTTTAAATTGATAATTTATAAAATAAAATTTATAAATTTTTTAAATATAATAATAATGTAATATAATAAATATGATAATAATGAAAAAATGTAATAAATAAAATAATATATAGTAATTTATGATAACATATATAATAAATTTTTGAACATTAATTATTAAATTTTTAATTTTTAAGAATAAATAATAATATTTAACATATGATTATGGGATTCTCAGTTTTAAATATAGGAAATTGTTTTTTATAAGAATATATAGTATCACTATTAGCATATAAGAATTTAATATTCTAATTAATCACTTGATAATGAAAGAATAAAAAATTATTATACAATTGATAAATTAATTTACAAGATAAGAAAACATACAAGTTATTTGTATATTTCAATTTCTAAAAAAATTAATAAAGAATCAAATATCCATAGACATAAAATATGAAATAATACATTATTTAAATTATCAACATGATAACGTGACTTATAAATAATACAGGAACATGCAAAGATTTATCTACTAATTTATTATAATACGATCTCGTTTTAATAATGAATGATTTTATTGTCTGTTTTTACTTTTTTTCTTTTTGTCTTTTTTTAAATGCAACAAACGAAATGCATTTCCAACAAAATTATCATATCGTGCAAATTATCATAAATATTGTTGTTTTTTTTGATTCTTAATAAAATACATTTTATAGTTTATTTAATGTCATATTATAATTACATGAATGACACTTGAAAATGTCATGCATGCATGTTCATTTGTTTGATAAAATCATAAGTTGTGAAAACTAGTTAATTGATAAGAGTGTCGGTTTTTTTGTGATTTATGATATATTTCTCGTAAAAATGCATATTTCGCGTATGGAAATGTGAAAATCATATTTGACATTTAAAAATCATATGTTTATATATATATATATATATAAGTAGATAAATATAGTGTTGAATTATAGTTTTGTTGTATAGGTGAGATTGTTCGTATCATGTAACAAAAATTTTTCGTGAAATATTTCAAATTTCTATTATATTAATCTTACGAAGTGAAAATTATTAGCATTATCTATTTAAGAAACAAATGCAATTGTATTTTGTAACAATATAAATGCATTTATGAAAAAAATTGTATAGTAGAATAACATAGAGATAGAATTATATAGAGGTTATGTAAAATTTTTAGTATCAAACTGGGATAACTAAATTTGATTAAATTGAATTTTGCTGTTTTTTACTTCTTTATTTGATTTCTTTTTTATTACTAATCATACCGGTTATTTGATTTCTTTCGTGTTAAATAGATTATCTCATATTTCTTAGAAGAAAATATTGATTTTGCGGTATTTATTTAATATTTATCTAGATGTAAAGGTCAATTTTTTTTACGATAATAGGATAAAGATTTCTTCTAACTATCTTGAATTCCACATTTATGTGTAGAAAGAATTATAATTTTATTTGTTGCTACCATTAAATTTATAAAATGAATTATATATATTAATTTTTAATTAAATCATAAAATAACAGTTTAAAAAATATTAATTTATTATATAATCTTATTATCAAATAATCTATCTATAAAAATTTAAATTTGTTCTTTACGGAAAAAAATAAAGTATAATAAAACTATTACAAATCTTAGAATCGGTATAATAATCATTCAATTTATATAATGAAATAATTATAACTTACATGAATAATATCACAATTCCATACACAAATATTTATCACGCAAATAATTATGTATTTTTATTTATCGTAACGACAAGAATTTTATTAAATATATCTTAATAAAATTTCAAAAGGTTATACTTTGAGATCTACAGCTATTTAACTCAGCAACAGTGAATAGCGGTTAACATGCACATTACGAAACACGATATATGAAATGTAATTAAAAATATTAGAAACACCTATTAAAGTCGTTTGCTGTGCAGTAGCAATTAAATTTCCATAATACGAAACGATAACAGGTAATAGTTTCAGTTGTTTTCGAAAACATTTCGAAAAGTTTTGCATTAAGATTTATAAATAACGCTGATTTTTTTGAATTCAGGCAAAAATGCGTTCTTTAAATAATAATAATTATAATATTAATAACGATAATATCGAAAATAATATTATTCTCGTTAATAATATATCAGAAACGATTAACAGTGCTTGTATATATATATTATATTATATGAATATTAAAATTAATTAAAATTATAAGAACGATTATGATTCGTAATGGTGTGATAAATGAATACTGGAACGCGATATCGAGATACATCGTGTTATGTGGTAAACAGTAGGACAATGCGTTTCCTTTGTAAATGCATTCTAATTCTGGGAACAAATTGGTGCTTTTAGCGACATTAAAACGAGCCCATTAATCGTATACTTGATACATTTCGCGTACCTCGAGTTGCATAATAATGACACGCGGATATAAATTTACGTTTCTACCGAAGAAACGTATAATTTGTAATCCAGGCTGCATATGCATACATTGAGAATTACGGAATAAATTTAATCGAATGATGACAGAATTTTACGAAATGTATTTCTTTTCTTTTTTGGTATGATTTTTATATATGAATAAATGTAATGGAAGGAATTAAGTTTAAATTTTTATCAAGCTATTATAGATGGAAGTATAATATGATATATTAAATTATGAAAAAATATATTCAATGAAAATTTTTTTAAGTAATTAATCTTTTCTTTTTGTTATAGGTCAATTCAATTATATCAAATGCATAAAATTTTCCATCAGTAATAGAGCAGGGAAATTATAGAGTAATTTTAATCATTCTGAGAAGACCAAGATCTACAATAGTTGCAAAAATTAAAAAATTTTTCTTAATTTTTTATAATAACCAAATATTTATAATTTCTAATATTTATATCATTGATAAAGGTTTTATGAAGTTTCACAATAAGAATTTAATTAAATTATTAACTAACATGACTTAGCATACAATTTTTATTTTTATTTTAAATTCTTAGTTATAAAAAAAAATAAAAATAGATTAAATCAAAACAATATTTAACAATACCTCTTTTTTTCTTTAATATATAAAAATATAATAAAAATTTTGAGAAATTTTTAAAATCTCTGTTTCAGAAATAGCATCATAATCTTCGATCAGCTGCAGAAAGAATTCTCCAGATTTTATTCTACGTTCAATGATCAATCTGCAACAACGAAGAAATCGTTCATCCTTCTCTCCTTTTTTTACAAAGGTAAGGCGTTCCTACTTTTCTTTTAATTAAAAGTAGTTACCGGCACAGCCCAAGTCAATTCAAACAGAAACTTTAATCACTTCACGACTAGTGTGGATTTTAAAAGAAAGTTGTGATCTTTGATCAATGCAAGAGGCGGAAAACTTTCCGTTTCGCGTCATTCGCAACTGTTCGCACAGTCGACGCTGACTGATTTATCGCTCGCGTTCTCCTCGATGTTTTGACGTGCAAAATTTGCTTTTCGTACACACATAGCAATTACTGTATGAATTCATACTGATTTCAATATCAATTTTAAAATAAGAACGGTGAAATATATTATTTTCATGACAATTTTAATGCATGAATTTATTATATGATTTAATAGTGGATTTTCATGAAGTGATTTTCATAGTTTTTTCTTTGCAATTATTTATATTGCATATTAGAAATTTTCATTATTTGTTTATTTTAATATAAATTTATTATCTAGTAATGGAAATAATTTATATTAATGCTTCATCATCTATTCAAAAAAACAAAATTTCATCTTGTTAAAAATTGTACTCCATAAGAAAATCATTTATTTTAGACTACATTATTTTTCATCATTTTTATTTCATAAGAAACCATTCACATTCCATAAGAAACCATTCATATTCTTTGGTGAAGTCTCACCGATACGGTCTTTCAATGTTTGTGGAAGATATAAATTTTCTCTTTGAAAAAGATGTGGAATGAATCTCATTTTTTTTTAAATTTAAATTATAATGATATAAAATGAATATAATAATGAATCAATTTTTTAATAAAGTACAATTCCAAAATAAATACTAACATTTTACAAATGTTGATCTCTTACTTAATTACTATTATTTTATGTTTAAAATATATTTTCATAATTATCAAATTATATACATTCATAAATTATCAAATTATACATTCATAGATACATCTTGTATAAAATAATTGATTATATCTGATTTTTTTCAACTTATTTTTCAGAATTCAAGAAATTTTTGAGACACTAAATAATCGATATGATTTATCGATTTGATGGTTTTTATCCAAACAGAAACCGATTGTTGCATTTAATTGTGAGAAAAGACAAACATGCTTGTTTGTTATTATCGACTTGTATAAGGGATGCAGCGTGTTGCACGTTATGGTATAATTAGCACGCGACGTTGTACATATTCTAATGTGTATAATGTGCTTCTTGGAGTGTGGGTGTGTATATACCAGCTTATCTAATTAATTACAACTGGTAATATCGTATCTGGTGGAAAATGGTACCTTGTTTTAGTTTTAACGTTCAACATTGGTTCACCGGTTTGCTTAATTTTCGTATTACGAGAATTTGTCAAAAAGATGTCCAATGATACATGAAAAACACGAATATCTTTATGTGACTTTCTTATCTTTTATATCATAAATTTTATTCAATATAAAAGTTAAAATTATATTCTAAACTGATAATTTTTTGCTATTAATAGTTTAGAAATTTCTTTTTCTAATAGAAAATGATTAGGACATTTTGCATGGTAATTTACAATTAATAATATTAATGATTAGATTCTCTTTCACCAATTTAACAATTTTAATTAAATCAATTATAATTTGTAAAATTTGATTGAAAATTTGATTATTTTTATTTTTTTTATTTTATTTTTATAAATAAAAATTTATGGATCAAAATTTATTAATATTATTAAAGTAAGTTACGGCTTGTAAAATTTTAAAATATAAATACGACAGATAATAAAACTACGAGAATAGCATGAAATAGTTTTTATTACGTTTCTCTCGTTTCTTTAAAGTACCGATTCAAAATCCTATATATGTTTTTATAGCTTTCTCGTTTTTGTTTTTCCGGATTGCGTTTTTCGATATGAAAAGATTGCATCAAATTTTTATTGAACGAGCACAGAGTGTGATGTTCACGAGCAAAAAGCTGTGAAAATTATAACAGGTTTCGTTTTTTAAAAAAGAGGAAGTATTCAATTACAAAAACATGTAAAAAAAGGTTGATATAAATGTTTTTCATAATTTTTCAAGAATATTATTCACCAAATCTCTTTTCAGTTTATCTTCTTTTATTATCTGTTTTTATGTCATATTTCTTTTCATCAAATATTTGCTCTTTTAAATTTTGTGAATTTATCTGAATTACTATCTTTTTTTTTCATTTATTTTATTTTATTCTATTATGAAAGATTTGAATCTCAAATATTCATATGTACAATATTTTCCATTTTAATTCAATTTTCTATCAATTATTTCTACATCAAATAAAGTCTAATTTTTTTATTTTCACTCTATATAAATTAAATATTATCTCTATTTCTTTTTTCATTAAAAATTTAAAAAAAAACAAGTTCTTTTTCTTCTGATCTAATAAATGTATTATATTAATAAATATTTTAAAATAAATTTTAAAAATTTTCTTCACTATAAAATTCCTATTTACATAAGATAGACAGTTTCTATATATAGAGTGTATATCTTTCAAATATTGGAAATATATAAACAAGACTAGTAACAAATATTAAACGGTAGAAAGTTCACAGATATTCCATGGTGTCGTCAACGAGTCATATTCCTAGATATGAAATTCCTGCAAACATTCCTGGTTACTATCACTATCATAGAATCTATTATCAAGAATCTAGTTATAAATTAAATCTTTTTAATGATCAAACCGAAATTTTAGATAATATATTCCTGTCGTTATTATTTCAGAATTGAGACTTATCTGAAAAAATCTAGAAGCGATAGAAACGTAGAGACAGATCGTGGTATACCCTCGTTAAACTTCGTGGTCAAGTTTGAACGGTGTTGATCTTCTCCATGCAAGCTGGTCATCTCTACAGCCTGTGCCAGGCACATTGTCGACATGTCGTTACTCGGCTCCTGGTCACCATGTGGATTTTATGCGATTTTACTCACAATTACTACACAGTACTCCAGAAATCTGTGGTTTTTGTGGTCGATCTTTAGGACTAGACCAATCACTTGTTCACATAATTAATTTGATTACAATTTATATTCTTGCATTTCGGTATTATTTTTATTTGATTTATTAAACTATCTGTAAGTAAATATTTGATTATAATACTGATCAACTCTATAATTATATCATCTTACATTAACAGTACCATTTTGATTGTACAGTTTTCAATGAAGTATATTCAATGAATTCTTCATCCTGAATGTATCATATTTATTAATTATTTCATATTTCACTAATTTAAATATCATGAATATTGATTGATTGCTTATAAATATTAATGAAATTAATTAAGTCATAGGAGAGACAAAGAGAACGAGATAATATTTAAATATTTTGTATCTATCTACTAAATATCTATTTGATTTTCTAAGAAAAAATTGCAAAGCAAGTATTATTTATAATATTATCTTTAAATTAAAAAAAAATTTAACTTATTCGTATAAATACGATGTTGTTCCTCGAGAGATTAATCAAAAGTCAGTTCTCCATCCATGCCTTGTTGAGACAAACGACTCGAAACGGGCTCTCTCTTCGTCAACGTGGTTCACCACGATTGTCTAGTTAGATTCGAAATAGGAAAAACGAGCCTCATTAGCTGCCTCGAGCTCGACGTTCTTCTCTCACTCGACGACATGAATAGCTCCTTATATTTTCAGCAGGGAAACGGAATCGTTCGATTCGATAGAAAATTCTGGATCTCGAGAAGCTTGAAATAGAACGGTTCATTTTTTTAAAATCGATTACGAAATTTTATTACGAAATCGATTTCAAGTAGAATAGTCTTTTGAGTGAAGATTGAGATATTTTTATATAAAACTACTGATTTAATTTTAAAATACTTTATATTGTAGAATTCGCTATAGAAATTAAATATTTTATTATTTTATTTCTAAATTATCAGATAATTTATAATTAATTATTAAATAATATAAATATTATATAATTATTAGATATAAATATAATATGATGTGTATAATATAAAATATTATATCCATAGTTGTTTAATTCAGTAATATCACATATTATCATTGAATTATTCATTATTATTCTTCATATTATATAATAAATATAATAAGACTTGTTCTCCTTCTTCAAATACGAGAGAAAAAAAGCTCGTTATTATGTGGGAAAAATCAGAGTCGAAGGAGCCAATAAAAGGCGATTCACGTCTGAGCAAAGTACGAAAAACTCTTCTGATTCTCAACGTCACACTTCTTTTCTTCGAGTTTTTTTTTTTATTAATGAATTTAAAATAGAAATAAATCTAATTAAGCAAAAAGATGAAAATATGAATATTATTTTGATATTCATCAAGTTTTTTTTTTTAACAATGAATATATTGTAATAATAGTTTATTATATTTTCTAATTCGAGTAAATTTCTAATGAAAAAATTTTAATGTACATATGTATGTAAATATCTCACTCTTTATTATTTATTATTATATCTCTCTCTTTATTAATTATATGCATATCTATTGATAATTCATTATATAAAAATTATGGAATTATCTGAAAATTTAAAAATATGTTAATGACAATTTTTAATAATAAAGTTATAATAATAAGATATAAAAATTATTTCCTTTTTTGCAGAAAATATTTAATGTATTTTTTTTCAATTTGAATATTCACAATTAAGAATTGATATATTCCAAATCATTTTTACCTTGATTCATGATGTTTAATATGCACATACATTGTTCACTTTCCATTTCTTACTTACTATGCATGAATTAAATTGAAATTAATCTCATTAAGTATGTATTTGTGGAAAAATAAAAGTATTTATTTCAAATTCTGCATTGATAAAAGTTCTATCTATACTATATTTGATCAGAAATTGTATGTAAATCTAATAGAAATTTAAGTAAATTTAATATTATTTAAGTACTCTACATTAAATATATATAAAATTAAAATATATATTTACTGTTTAAATTATTAATAATTTTTTTATAAAAATATTGATGATGTTTCTTGTTTTATGAAAAACAAAAAAGGAGGAAAGAAACGAGAGAAACTTATTAAGGAGATGATATCATTTACAATTAATGTCGATGAGATCATGTTTCTTTCTTGCTTACTTACTTGTATAATCATTTTGTCGACTTTTTACAAAAGAAATTTGCATGATTTGCTCATAACATAAAATGTCTAATGTCGAAAATTTTTTCTCTTAAAAATGAAGATGAAGATTAATAAAGATTTTTATATCTCATCATCGATTTTATTGTATAATATTAATTATACAATAGAAAAATTTTATATAATAGAAAAATTTAATGCAAGAAAATTACTATATTTAAGAAGTAAAATAAAAAGAAATGTATTGAAAATTTTTTATAGAATTAAAAATTTGGTATTATATCATAGCATTTTATTATTATGAACTCATGAGCATGACTGTGTTTTATTTTTAGATTTTATGTGGGTGTTCATATATGTACTAATATATGAATCATACATTTCAGCAATATCTTAATAAGATTCAAACTTGGAAAATGTATGATTTATCATATTATTACAAAATTATTTTTTTTTAATATAAAATTAATTATAAAAATAAAAAGTTACTTCAATTAATGAAACAAAAAAGTATTGAAAAATTATTATCAGTGCAAAATAAGTAATTTAAATTATTTATTCTGTTATTATGAAATTTTTATATTATATTTTTTAATACATTCATAGAATGATAATATATGTATTCGTTTAGATAATTTTAATTTTTTAATTTATTTCTTATTATTTAAAACAATATTTTAATACATCATGTCAATGTTCGACGAATTCTTCCTTGCCAAAGTAAAAAGTAATGCTTTTAGTTAGATAAACTCTTACAAAAATTGCGATAAAGAAAACGATACCAAAGAGTATAGAATACACGTTGTCATGGATCAAGAATAATATTGTTCCCTTCTTACTTCTATTATTTACTTTTCATCTCGTATATCGAACAGATACAAAAGAGAGAAGTTCTATCCACCTCTTTCGACTAAAAATTTTCCGATCGATGGAATACACATGAGCTTTTATCGTTCATATTTATTTCTTTATTGCTTGACCCAGATTCAGTTGGAGTCTTTACAATCGCGTCATAAAACGATTATCATTGGTATTATCCTCCGTGCAAATTGCAATCATCGTTGTTTATTTAATATATGATCCAAATTGTAAATTCAAGGATACGTGTAATAATTTTAAAATTTATAATGATAATATTTGCTTATGTAAAAAAAAAAAAAAAA